AGCTTTTCAGCTAATACATGTGGCCTAGTTGTGTTGAATGCAGACAAAAAATCAATAAAAGCCAGCCGTGCTCTTGTTTTTGGAGTTTCCAAGTGTTGAGTTACTAAACACACAAGAGTAGTTACCGCATCTTCCACACCCCTCCCTGCTCTATACACAAACTGAAAAAGGATCTAACTTATCTTCTACATGCTTCAATATCCCCACTCTCACAATTTTCTCAAATGTTTTCATCACCAGAGAGGTGAGGGCTACTGGTCTAAAATCATTTAAATCCTTTGGGATCCTACATTTTGCCACAGGAACAACTGTAGCATGTTTCCAAATTTGTGGGACAATTTGCATTTTAAGAGACATGTTAAAAATCTGTGTAAATATACCACTTAACTGTAAACTACATGTTTTCAACACCTTGCCACTAATGTTATCTGGTCCAGGACTTTTATTTACTTTTATTCTTTTAAAAGACCTATAGCCACGGTAGGAGCATCAATATTAAACACTGTAATACTACTTTGCGAAGCATCATATTTAACATTATTATCATCCATATTAAATCTTAAATTAAATGTATTTAGTTCTTTAGCTAAACACATATTAGAAGTATACCCATCTAAAAATACCATAGCCCTATCACTTTCCTGTAAGCCTGTCATTAATTTCATCCCGTCTCACACTGCCCTTTGATCAGAATTTAAAAATTTGTATTCAATTTTTTCTTTGTAATTATATTTTGCCTTCACAATAGCTGCTCTTCCTTTCTTCCTAATAATTGAATAAGCAACTTTATCACCACTTTTAAAAATAACCCTTTTTTTTTTCTTGAGAAGGCTTTTCAATTCTGCATTAAACCAAGGCTTATTATTTAAATAGCAGGTGACCATCTTACTATCAATCACATTCTCAACACAGAATTAAATATAACTACGCACCACATCAGTCAACTCATTAATATTATCCGATGATTCTTGAAAAACAGACCAGTCCGTACACTCAAAGCATCCTTGTAGAGCCAATATACCATCCTCAATCCATACTTGGACCTTCCGTGTTTCTGTGCCTCTCCTTCGCAGCACAGTCTTGTATGTAGAAAATAGGTGCACCATGCTATGGTCAGAAGAGCCCAGTGGGGGCTCAGCAACGGATCTGTACGCCCCTCATATGGATCCATAACATAAATCTAGAATCTTATTTCCAGGAGTGTGACAAGTGATGTACTGATGTTTTGTTGCAATTACTGTGATTAAAATCACCCAAAACAAGGCACGGGGCATCGGGTGAGACGGACTGAAGTCTTTGTAACACAGAGAACAACACTTCATTTGCGTTTTTAGTATTAGCTAGGGTGAATATATAGAACTGCCAGGAACACCAGAGGAAATTCCCTGGGCAAATAATATGGTCTCACAGAAATTGTCAGTAGTTCTCTGCCATATCTTTGAAATCTCCTAAAATTCATTTGCAGAAACGAATCCTTTTGTGTTTGACAAAAGAAAGAAAAATGTACCAGTTTGTTTTGGGGTGAGTTATTAAGTTAAAAAAGTAATAGTTCAAAGTTGCTGAAAATTTACTCACCTGCAGGTTATCCAATGTAGATGAGTTTGTTTCTTTATTGGAACATATTTGGAGAAATGTAGCATTACATCAGCTGCTCACCATCCTCTGCAGTGAATGGGTGCCGTCAGAGTCCAAACAGCTCATAAAATTATTACAGTAATCCACATGACTCGGGTTCATCAATTAATGTCTTGTGAAGTAAAAAGCTGTGTGTTTGTCTGAAATTAATCCATCATTACGGCAATTTAACCAAAATATGAGTCCATGTTTGTATGAAACTAATACATCAAGGCGTTTTAAACAAAATATGAGTACATAATCCACTGCAGAGGGTCCCAATCTGTTTAGATGATGAAACAAACTCATCTACATTTTGGATGGCCTGAGGGTCAGTACATTTTCAGCAAATTTAGATTTTTGGCTGAATTGTTTCTTTAGTACTTCACATTCAATATACAGTGTTGTAAACACAGTAATATTGTGATTGATTATTTACAGTGTGATACAAGAACTACATGATTAATATTCAAATGGTCAAGTTTTTTTTAGAGTTTATTTTGTAAATGTATAGCACATAAAAACAAAAGCCTTCAGGATAGTATGGACAGACAGGAAACAGGATGTATATGTTAAATCAGTGACCATGAATTATACAGTTTTTCTTCCTGAATAACCTAAAAATTGTCATCTGCCTTTTCTCTTTACCTTCCCTACTAAAAAGTAATTTGTCAGTGCATGTCAGAATATATAAGATACAATATGCAATTCTTTGTTTATTTTCCAGGCATCATAATGTGTTAACTTAGGGTGGTAAGACTGAAATGTGACTAGTCACACATAGTTTAAGTATCACACGTTAACAGTGAACATGACTGTCTCACACAGGCCGCAGGGGCTTCTTAGAAAAAAATGGGAAAACAGAACCACACGGGAAATTTCACACTGGATATCTTTGTGAATTCATGTAATAAAATGCTCAGAAGCATACAGTCATGGATATTATATCTTGTACAATGTCCCAATTCAAGATTATACAGACATGCATGACAGCATGAGGTCAAAGGATCCAGTAACATCTGGAGACATTTAAAACCAATACATTTAAATATGTACCATATTTGGTAAAATACTTGAATGTTAGGCCAATATTAACACATTTATGAGAGTAAAATTTAAAATGCCATGGAATGTCATATTTATGATATCAGTTAGGTCTGTGTCTTTGATCATCATTTGCATATTTTACTCACTAATGAATTTCTTCAACACAATAAGTACCCACAAAAACACTAATTTTATTTCATATTACAAAGACATTTTTTTTGACATATGCATAAAAGACAATTCTGATTTGGTCTATCATTCCCTAAGAATGCAAACAAAAGCCGCCAATAATGTACTACACAATCCTGACCATTGTCTGTCCTTAAAGAGAATAAGCAATGGAAATGCTGTCATCATTTACTCACTCTCCTGTCATTTTGAACCTGTTTGAAATTCTTTCTCATGTGGAACAAAAAAGGCACACTTTTTTTGCAGAATGTACTTATTTCTCGGCCATGTATTTTCAATGAACAAGCACTGAAGCTTTAATGCCAAGCTAACAATGTTAGAACTAGGAGCCATCTTAATTTGAGGAATCACATGATAATTAAAGAGATCACATGATCAATCAGGACACACACTGATCCAAATTTTTATATAATTTAGCTTCACATTGTAACAGCCTTTTGTTAGAATCACCACCTCTTCTTGAACAGGTCAATCTCTGAATACCTGTAAATCTCATATCACTAAATTTATGGTCAGCATCCGCAAAATGTCTGGCCACAGAAGAATGAATATCCATCCTTCTAATAGAGCTCCTGTGCTTGTTGATGCGGGTCTTTAATTGACGATTGGTCTTGCCAATATATTGTAGACCACATGGGCATGAAATAAGATAAATGACAAAAGATGATGAACAAGTGATGGTCTCTCTAATTTTGAATGTTTTCTGAGTGGTGGTGCTAGTGAAAGGATCCGTTTTAATTGCATTTTCACAAGCTTAACAAATCCTGCATGGGAAGAAGCCAGTGGGATGATCCAAAGTCACATATTTGTTCTCCTTAATGAAGATATCAGAACTGACTAGATGATCTCTTATGTTGCGTCCCCTATAATATGAAAAGAGGGGGAAGAAATTGACTGTAAGGGAGACCTTTCTTCAGAGGAATGTTATGGAAGCTTTTGGCATGGAGGATGCTATTCCGATCCGTAGGTTTTCTATACAGAGTTGTAAATAAAGTATTGTCATCAACACAAACATAAATATCCAAGAAACTGATCTTGTTCAAACTTGTTTCCGTATTAAATTGGATCTTTGGAATAAGGTTGTTTAAATGATCAACAAACATCAGTAGATTCATTCACTAAATCAATCTGAATAATTCATTTACAAACTGAACTAATCCAGTTCACAGATTAAATGATCTGCTTATAGCGGAAAACATCTCACTGGAAGGAAATATTATCAGTGACACACATTTGAAGTATAGCTTGTTCCAACACAAAGGATAAAAAAAAAATAAAATAAATTTTTTTAAAGTCATACAGAACAACATGACGGTTTGTAAATGATGACAGAACTTTGGTTTTTGGATGAAACATTCAAAACAACAGATACATTAACATGGCAGCGGCTATTTGCACTAAGTGTAAATAGCGATAAGTGCAGATAGCAATAGATGCTATTTACACTAAGTGCAAATAGTGATGGATTCTATTTACACTAAGTGTAAATAGCAATTAGATGATATTTGCACTAACTGAAAAAGCATATTTTCTTAGCGATATGCTATTTACACAGTGCAAATAGCACTGTTTCTGTTTCAAATTTACAGATTCTATTTACACTAAAAGCAGGATTTTCTGCTATTTATACTACTTATTGACAATAGTGGCAATTATCTGCAGTATTATAGTATTGTACATTATAAAACAGTGTGGAATAATAACATATTGAGTGTAAATTATAATTTTAATTCAAATGATTAGATGGATTCCACCTTATTGGGACAATAAAGCCCTCCCTACACCATACTCTACCCCTAGTCGATACGTTATTTTCAACTTTTCGATTATTTCCTTCCTTTTTATTAAAAATAAATGCCTTTCGAATGTGATACGAAAATTTAAAAGGGAGAAGAAAGCAGTTGGCAAAAGGCGGATCCGAACACGGGTTGTTCACGTCAAAAATCTACGTCACTGGAGCTGTTGTTTGCTAGCCGTCTTTTGTATTGTTGACTATCCCAATCACACGTTGGTGGGCGGAGTTAGTGTAAATAGCCTCTGTCAACAACGTGAGCTATTTGCACTTAGTGTAAATAGACACTCCGTAACAAAATACAACGAATAACAGATAAATTAACAGTAAACATTGAAAACAGTAACAGGATATTATAATCACTTTTCCAGAGTGTGACACAAACCACAAACACAGTCGAGTGCTGATTCACTCCTTCATGCCTCCTGAAAGTTCACTGTGGCGTTTCATTTCACAGTTTTCCCCTTTGAGAAACAAGCTACCATGCGATTGACACTCGTGCAGCAAGTGTTGCAGTGCAGGCCTCAACTTTTCGCTTCATTTTCCTCAGTTAGCATGTCCAGCGAGGCTCGACGGGCGCTAGATAACGGTACAGCGGTGGCTGGTGTCCGGGCTCATGCTAGACCCTCCGTCCGTTTTGACGGTGGTCTTGGATGAGCTGATTTGGGAGCATAGCTCTTTGCGATGGCAGAGGCGATCGCGGTAGTTTTGGGCGAACACCAGCAGCATTAGGGGGTTGATGCAGCTGTGAGAGTAGCTTAGGCAGATGCTGATGTTGTACGCGTACACAAAGGCGCTGGTGGGCTGCTGGATGGTGAGGTTGATCACCTGGATGACATGATAGGGAGACCAGCAGACCAAGAACAGGGCGATCACCATCACAACTGTCTTAGTGGCCCGTTTGGCCCACACTGACTGCTTGCGTTTGACCCGCCGGATGGAGCGGAACACGTGGTACAGAGTGAGAGTGTAAAATGTGCTTATTATAATGAGGGGGACGATGAAAGCCAGCATGGACTGGTAGAGCGTGTACCAGTACATATCCTGAGGCCCATCCAGATAAATCATACACATGTCCATGTTCGTTTTGGAGATGAATTTAGTGTATATCATGACCGGGATGCTCAGAAGGAAGCTGCCCACCCACACCAAAATGTTAATGATGATGGTCCACTGAATGGTCCTCTTTTCAGATGCAGGATGTACAATTGCAATGTACCTGGAAAAAGAAACAATAAACAATGTTAAACAAAGTAGTGCCACCCAAGAGTTAATGACCCTTTTTTTATTTTTAGCTCTTTTAATATTGCTGCATCAACTTTGTATAAGATGATTCTCCCGAAATTAGTTAGGAGAAATAAAAACAGAAACAGTTATAGTTTAAATATTGTAGCTCAGATAAATTGGCCTTATTTTGCAGAGAAATGTTTGAGTTCATACTGAAATCTGATCTCTTTGGTATCTGGGCAAATCTGAGCACAGTTTGTGATATGATTAAAATGTCTTCTGATACTCTATACAAAGCAGACTTGTGATATTAATAGGGTCTTTTTCTATAGAGAAAAATATTGAGAAGCTGGAGACATAAGCACAAGTAATTTGATCTCTATTTGATCTATTTTCCCATTTTCTGGGAGAAAGAGATCTTATTTTTTATATGAGATTTTTTTATATGAGAAGAAAATTCACAATTTTTCAGGATTCAAATTTAATAAAAACTCAAATGCAGGGCTATTATTATATTCATGCAAAACAGAGAGATGTTGAAACTATATTGTAGCATAAATAACTTTGTATAAATTAGATTAAGGACAAATTGTAGCTTTCACTAAAGATGATTCAGTAAGTAGAATTTGAGTTTATCTTTTGTACAAATTGTCCAACAAAACAACTGCCTGCATCCATCCATAGTGGGTTCCAGTGCATATACAATTGAATCATTATTTTACTAAACACATTATTAAATAATAATTCATTAAATAAATATGTAAATTATATTTAACATATTGAGTAGCTGTTTAATAACAAACATACTTCACTATTCAAAAGTTTGGGGTCAGTTAGTCCTCTACCAAGACTGCGTTTAAAAATACAGTAAAACTGTAACGTTGTGAAATATTTTTTTTTACAGTTTAAAATAACTTTTTTTTTCAATCTATGTTGTAAAATGCATTTTATTCCTGTGATGGCAAAGCTGAATGTTTAGCAGCCTTTACTCCAGTCTTCAGGGTTACGTGATCCTTCAGAAATCATTCTAATGTGCTGATTTGCTGCTCAGGAAACATTTCTTATTATTATCAATGTTAAAAAAAATTTTGCTGCTTATTTCTTCCTCATTCCAGCATCTTTCCTTGGCACAGTTGTCTTTGTCTTGCTCACTAGGGGTATTAAGGCACTATTTTACACCAAAACCGCTTTGGAGCAATATGTATTGTGAAAAGAGCTATACAAATAAAGCTGACTTGTCTTGACTCTTGGAAAGCAAACAGGTCACATGCTACTAGAGCTGCAAAACAGCACAGCAAGTGACAGCTTTGAAATGCATTTGCTGTGTTTGTATTCTTCTAGATTTCTAGAAATCAAATAAAAAGCTTGTGTGTAAAATCAAGAGATGTGTACTTTACTCGTGAACAGTCCAAACACAGCAGCATCATTTTTCATTAAGTGTTACAGCTCTTGTATACTCTAGTCAGACAACAATATTTGTTTTTTTCCCCTTGCAATTTCATATAAAGGGAAGAGAATGTGTCTGGCTTCATGTTTAATGTATTGCTCACAGTAGTAACAGTGACTTTAAGGTTGCCTTTTAAATAGAATATGGGATTACTGTATAATGCTTAGTAAAATATAATGAAAATGTGCAGTTAAGATGCTGTATCTAAGTAACTTTAAGCATGTGACCCAGTAAAAACCAACATAATTCCTTTTGGGAATACAGCAATGACGCTATATGAAAAAGTGATATAGTGGAGCTTTATCACCTAATCATGCATCAAGAGGCCTTCTGGGGGACTCATGTCTTTGACACCTACAACTAAGCAAAAACTCTCCTCTGCACTCTGTTTTTTATGTGCATCCTTTGTATGTGGTGAGATATTGTGTTAAAGTGCTTTTGTGTGCTATAATTATAAGTAAGAGGGGTTTTCAGTGTCACACACTGTTGTTGCTGAAGTACAGTCTTGCAGACTTAAGATAGAAAAATGATAGATGCAGCTTGCTTTATTTTTCAAGGTCGTGTAGCATGGATCACATGGATGTGAGAGTTGCATCGATTTCATTCTTTTCTTTTTTCTTTGCATACATTCAGTGGAACATCTAGATTAGACTTTGATTAGCAGCAATGAACAGCTGGGCTGTAATTTCATATAATTTGGTGAAAATAGTCTGTGCTCTGTAATTAGAGTTTGAATAAAGAATTCTATCCTTTTGACCTCAAAGCTGATGCACTTCATAAGCACATTTATTATCTTGACTGTACTGGTTTGCATCTGAAAGAAACCTGTCAGTTGCATGTCACAGGTCAAGGAAAGAAATGTAATTATATGTATTATTATATATTTTGCAAAAATGAAGCCTATTTTGGTAAATGATTGTTTCACATAAAATTACAATGTAATTTTTACAAAAAAAAAAAAAAATCGTAGTAATAATAATAATAATAATAATAATGTTTTATTTTTATAGTGCCTGTCAAGAACCCAAGGATGCTTTACAAAATAATACAAGCAAATTGGCAAACAAAATACACCAGACAGTCAAGAGCCCAAATACGTTTCACAAAATAATACAAGCAATTGGCAAAAAATAAAAAATAAATATAAAAGACAATGAGAGGGGACATTCAGACAAACAGGTATTGACAACAAAGAACTACAGTTAAACAACAAGAGGTCATGCAATCATATGATGAACACCAATTATGTCAAGAAGGTGGTCATATGTCATACAAACAGAAGTTGAGAAATAGAGAAGCAGAGAGGTAAATGAGTTATTAGAGAACTAAGTGAATAGATGAGTTTTAAGTTGTAAAATAAAAGGTCTGGAGAGAGGAGGCAGCACGAATATTATGGGGCAGCTTATTCCATTGCTTACCACCCACCGTAGAGAGTTTATGCTTGGGCACAACAAGCAAGTTATTATTGCTAGATCTGAGAATGTATGGTTGCACTAACTCAACTAGGTATTGCAGCAGTAAAGCAGCATAACAGTTCCAAACGCTCCGATATGGTGATGTCGCTGTTTATTCGGAAGTTCAGACGCTTCGCCTAAGCATCCAAGCACTGTTCCAATAAATCCAAATGTTAAGTCCCAAGAAAACACATCCAAACGCTCGGATATGGTGATGTCACTGTTTATTGCTACATCCAAATAGCACTGTTCTATTAAATCCAAACTTTAATTTTAGTAAATATTTATGCTGATAATAAATACAAATCACACAAAACACATTTATGCATTGCAATATTTTCTATTAAAAATGACTGATTATTATAATGAACATCTATACTGGAAAAAAATATTTGAGGTCACATTTGAAATCTTTTGATTACAGACTTTGGAATTTTGGCAAATCTCAGCAGAAAGTTGTTATCTCGTATGAAACTGCAGATGAGACTCAGCTAACAAGAAACATTCTCAGAATTTTGGCAAGTTTCCCCTCAAAGTTATGAACAAACGTTCTTCCAGTAATGTTTACAGAACTTTCATACAGAGTTATCTGGTTAAAAACGTTATTTTTACATTGATCATAGAACATTTTATTTCAGAAAAGTTTTATTTGGACAGTCATCTTACGTTCTTTTTTTGTAATGTTGCGGAAATGTTTCAGAACGTTCCCGTAATGCTTGCATAACTATAAAACGGAATGTTCCCTTATTGTTCCCGTAAAAAAAAATGTAATTTTTTTTTTATTTTTTTTTTACAAATTTAAAAAGCTGGACATTTTCAATATACAGATATTTAAACAATATTTGAACGATGTTCTTATAAAATAGCCAATGTTGTTAGCTGGGGATGCGTTTTTGTCTTTAGTAGAATAGTAAACTGATGACATAGCAGTTAGATCTCATTTTTATTTTTTGATAGTTTCAGGCCTACTTTGCAAGAACGGTAAAGTATGCACTGCATTAATTTTGTTCTGACTTCCAAAATGCATGCAAGTCTCACCTGTCAATGCAGAGCACTGTCACAATGCCCACTGTGGTAAACTGGTTACTGACATCCACCACCACCACAGCTTTACACATGAAGTGGCCAAAGACCCACTGTCTGTCCCGGACCAGCTGATGGATGTTGAACGGCATCACCAACAGGAAAAGCAGGTCTGCGATGGCCAGATTCAGAACGTAAATATCAGAGACCATCTTCTTCTTGCATGATGCCACAGCATAGATCACCAAACCGTTGGCCAGAACTCCAACTGAACACAGAATGCCGTAGATAGTGGGGAAGATGTGCATGAAAGACGCGATGTCAATGATGCTGTACGACGGAACGGTTCGGTTCACACACGAAAAGTTAGACGAATTTGCAAATTCGGAATCGCAAAGAACATCCGAGGTGTTCATCCTAAAAAAAAACAAAACTGTTTGCTTAAAAAAGAAATAACTATGAAAAGTTGTCGTCTGGGCTGCGCACGATTACGCAAGCTTTTACGCAGCGCTCTACTTCATATCCACACCGTTTAAAGTTGTAAAAGCTTCCCTCGGCTGTCAGTTATCGCCGTTGTCATCTGCTTTGCTTTTCATTCAGTTTGCCGATACTTCCTCAGTCTCCTGAGATACTGTTTAAATAAGTGCCCAAAAGCTGGAGCTGGAGCGTGTTCTGCGCGTCTGTCTCCTTCAGTTCGGCTGTTTGAAGAGATGCGTATGTCTCCACCCTTTCAGAGTCCTCTCCCCAAGCTCACCCATCACACTCAATATTTAAGAGCAAAAATATTTGATTATTCATTTGTGCGGTCTATCACAGCAAGACGCTCCAAAGTCCAGTGGTCACAATCAGTCTCCTGATCTGACTGCTTGCTGCCTGTTGCACGCACATCTTATTAGACCTGTTAAAGTTTAATCATTTACATTCAATCTAATTGACAGTTGTCTATATCCAAAGTAGCTTTAATGTATACATTTTATCAGTTAATGCATTCACTGGAAATTGAACCCATTACCTAGGCACTGCAAGCACTTTTTAAGCTTATATTGGCTGTGCATTATCACTGTTCATTGTGTTTCAAGGTTGTATAGATTAATTGTTAAATTGATCTTGCTGCCCAGCCCTTTTATGGAGTATGTTCTATTAACAGGTAAAGTCTAACATTAATTTGTTCACACTTTAAAACTAAAGCCTTATCTCCCCAACACACATCCTTGAACAAGTTTCAGCGCCACTGCATTCCTGTAAAAACACTCCATCATCTTGCCTAGATTTGAGGGAACACTTTTCAGGAGAGAACAAAGCATGTCCTTTGAAGATTGGAACCCTCTTTTCCACAGATAAAGAAGTAACTTAAGGTGCTCATCCTCTTCCAGATGTCTATAGACAGCCCTGATTGCTCCTGCAGAGCAGAAAGGATTTTGATGAAAAAAGGTTACTCCAAAAAAACAAAAAAAAAAAAACAAAACCTTTATTGCATACATTTATGGATTTTATCCATACTATCTTACAAATCATGTGTGACAGTGCATGCAAAAGAGCATTGCAGCAGTCCAGTTTATGAATGACCTGCTAGGAATGGTCTGATTGGGTACAGTATTTTTGTTTAATGTATAATAATAATAACAACAATAATAATTATTATTATTTAAAAAATATGAACAGTAATATAGTAAAATATGATTTACATTTAAAGGAACTATTATCTATTTGAATATATTTTCAAATGTAATTTATTCCTGTGATGGAAAAGCTGAATATTCAGCAGCTATTACTCCAGTATTTACATGATCCTTCAGTCATTGTAATATGCTGATTTGGTTCTCAATTATTATTAATTATTACTGACCTTGGCATTATTGCACCCTGAAATGAATAATTCACTCAAATCAATGAGCATCAAGGAGAAGGTGAAGGCTTTGTTCAAGGAGCAGCGCAATTATGGAAAACTCGTCAAAATCTCCAGCTCAACTGCCAATTTGGTGCGACTCATTACTTCACAGTTGGTTCATGCTTCTCTTTTCTAAGTCTGCTGATTATGGAAGGTAATTTGCAATTGTTGATACATGTGGATTTATTCATGTTAATAATGCATGCCCTCATTCATAGTAATCAGCATAAGTAGATTGGTTTGTTCTGTGTTCCGGCAGAACTGAAAACTCCTTGTGTTCCTTTATATTGCCTTTGATACAGTCTTTGCTATTCAAAGCAATTAAAACAGCGAATTTGCATTTCATTTTGTGACATATGTTCAACTGCAATGCATAGCCAATCCTCGATGACTGTCACAAAATGTAACATAAACAGCAAGATTCCTGGATATCACTCTGAAAGGACTGAGAAATGCATGCTTTCAGGCAAATATTTCTCTCAGTCTTCACAAAAAATACAAAACGATAAGAGAGAAAACATGGACCTGACACTAAGATGACTGACCCAAAGGAAAAATATTAAATAGAGCATATGGCTGTTTTACTTTGTGGTCACATGCCTGCAAAGATCATATGATGCCTTGTAGAACAGAACTGGAAGATATTTAGCAAGATATCAATTCCTGTTTCAAGCTTACACATCGCGATCCCTTAACCATCACGTTTTCTTAACGCCTATCATGCCCAAAATGGTCATACAAGGAAGGCAAGCTAACTGGGCTTTGAAACAAGGCCTTTATGAATGAAAGCATTAATGTCCAGCAGAGGGCGCAGTCAGTACTGACATAAACTGTCAGTACTGTCATAAATTTCACTATCCGCTCTGAGAGTTGGGTAAACAGTCTTCGCCTGCATTCTGTTCTGCATTCTGTGTGTGGTCGTCAGTTTTGATTAATCAGTTAAGCTGCCTTAGTTGAACTTGATAGTAAAATCTTCTTAAAAATGTAAAATTGATCTTACATTGAGATTATACTGAATGGTATAAATATAACAGCAATGTAAACAATTATTTTGTACAAACTTAACTCATAATTGTATGTTTTTGTGACATGCCATATGTCTTGTTGTGTATAAGAGCTAGTCTTGCATTTCCGTAAAAAAGTTGGGAGACTTTGAACCACTGCTTACAAGAGTATTAATGTAAATGTGTATGTAAACATAAAATATGCTTTCATGCAGTAATGAAATATGAAATAATTTATGTTTGTTTATCATCCCTGGGAAAATCAATGAGCTCATCTAAAAATATGAGCTGTTGGTGATGAATTTCACAATAAAACTCAACAATTATCTCACCCTATAGTCACTGCCATTTTTTTTAACTGCTACTGAAACCGTATGGTTTGTGAACACAAAAGTGTACAAAAAAAAAGTCTATCTTTTTAATAATAATATACGATTATTCTGTCAAATGTATGAAAATTAGAGTCTGATCATTCTGTCTGTCATCGGGCTTAAGATATCATCTTTGAGCTGCTTTTCATCTCAAGGTGCTTTTTAATCAAGAGAGGAAGGTGCCTGTACAACCACTACTCAAGATGTCAAAGGGGATTCAGAGAATATAAAGTGAGCCTGGGCCAAAATTATTTAATTGTATTGATTCAAATGCACGGTTTGTTGTTTCAAAGGCTGTAGCCAAGTTTAATCAATCGAATCGTGGTAGTTCTGATGGAAAATTGAATAATACAATCTGACAGGATTTCTGGTTTCACATTAAAGCTTATGAGACAAATGCAGCTCTGTAGTGCAGAGCAAAATCTTTGAACCTGTTCACCGTGCACACAAACATACACATGCACACACAGTCTTTCATTTGTCATTTAGGAGGTGCTTTTTAACCAAACTGAAGTAGCTAGGTTCTATGATTTTCAAAAACAACACATCAAAACATTTTTCCCAATCTATTCATCAAAAAACAATTCAAACAACAAAGTATTTCAAAAACAAAATTACGTGAAAGAACAGAAATTGACAGACAATAGAAATATAAGTTATAGTCACTGAATTATGTATTTAAATATATTTGTATATATAGTTTATTGCTAAATATTCAGATATTTAACTTTATTTCTATTTATGATTACTATTTTTTATATAATTTTATATAAAGCACACTGAAAAAGAGAAAAAAACTGGTGAATTACCACTGTGTATGAAATGTGCTATATAAATGAGCTATTTGAGAGCACAAGGAGTGTCATCATCCACAATGCTTTATGAGTGGTGGATCTCTCTCTGGGACTATGAGTAGTGTAGTTAAATTAACAGTGACTTGGGCTTCTGCAGAAGCACGTACCATCGATTAACACCCTCAGAGCGCAGAGTTGGTCTGTCTTGAGAGGTTTATACATTATCACTAAAAATCAATTTCCATATTTTCACTTCCGGAACCCGTCTGTTGAAATGTATTATAGGGTTGAGTGCCTCGCTTAAGGGCACAATGATTATAGTACATGGACTGAAGGGCTTGAACCTGGAATTTTTCAGTTGCAATCCCTGATTTTTAACCATTAGGTTACCACCACCCAGATGCAGGTTCTTACTGGTTGTGGTGGTTAACAAATCAGTTAATCTGCATGGAGGGGAGGTGACAGTATACTACCATCCAAAATACAATATAACAACATATACTGTCATCTCACAAATTCTGAGCCACTTACAAATACAGTCGGAAGCGTCAAAAACACACCCAGGCATAATGGAAATGCAGCACTAACTAGGTTTGTTCACCAACTGATTGTTCATAATGATTTATTTGTTTGTGTGAAGTGCTTGCAGCGACTATGATCTGCCCACTTAATGCATGCTGCAAAATTTATGTCCGATTTTCATCCAAAACAAGGCGTCCACACATAGCTGAGATGAGCGTGAGAGTGAATGCCACAGAACAGTCACTGTACTGCAAACACAACCGGTGATTTATTTGTTTTTGATGTACCACTGAGAAATGGGCAATAATTATTAAAAAATATTCAAGTCACATGAACCTAAAGTTAAAATGGGGACACAACTGCAGTGTTTTCATGCTATAATATATTGGGACTGATATTTGTGGTTTGTATAGATGTTTAGGCACTTTTTTCTTTCTAACTTATGCAAATAATTAGGGATGAATCAGAAAAACTGTGCTTTGCTCAAGGGTCCATCTAAGTAATCTGGCCCTGGGTCATAACTTTCTTATCACTGTCTCCCTCCAACATTCAGAGACCCGGTTATCGCAGTCAAGAGATCTGGTTCTGTACTGGTCTTATAGCAGTTCATATATTCCCTGACAAACAATTACATTCTTATATACTTAAAATTAGACATTTAGATGGCTAAAGATTTAAAGATATTTTTCGCCATCAATGTGATAATTATCGCTGAAATAATATAGGCTACTGACATTCCTCTTCAATGAGAGCTATTTAATCAGTGAAAGCTCAGATTTATGGATGCATACAGACATACCACCCGCAAGAAACTGCTTTTTTAACCTCACAGTGTTC